TACTTCTGAAGAGCCAGTTAATTCAATGAAAACAAATAGAAGCTAGGGAGAGGTCTGGGGGTGGGGGGAAGAGAAGGGAAGAAACTGCCTTTGAGAGTCTTCCAAACCACACGTCCGCCCTATTATCAAGTCACTGGAGGATTTGTGAAGACGTGTGGACAGGTCTGTCACCAGGCGTATGTGACTGTGTATATAAATTGGCAAAGCTTGACAATCCAGTAGCCGGGTGCAAGTCAGTGTGTTGAGATCGCATGTTCAAGGGCCCCGTTCTTTGTCCTGCTCATTGAATGTCAGATAACAACTTCATCTCTCTGTGGTCCTCTTCCTTTATCAGTAAAGTAAAAGCTGCAATCATAACCTGTCTGACAAAATTTTTGGACGATTTACTAAGAATGGTAGTGGTGGTGGTGGAGTCAGTTCCAACTCATCGAGGCCCCATATAGGTTTTCCAAGGCTGTAAATCTTTATTGGAACAGAAAGTCTCATGTTTCTCCTGCAGAGCAGCTGGTAGATTCAAACTGCTGGCCTTGCAGTTAGCAGCCTGACTGGTAACCCACTACGCTACCAGAGTTCCTTTACTAAGAATGTTGCTGTTGTTATTCTCCCATGCATTTAATCCTCTACTTTTGGTGCAGGTACCGTTTCTAAAGGAAACATTCACTGGTCACATTACTTCAGAAAGAGGTTCCCTTCTACAAAATCCTTAAGTTCTTTCCGCTTACACTCCTCATTTGCTATGTATTACGGACGGTCCTGCATTTTAGCTTTGACACATATACTACATGCATGTGGTGTTCTGGAGAAAAGGAGTCCTCAATCTCTGTGCGTCCTGTGGCACTCAGAATAGCACAGTGTACATTATAGGTGCTCAAATAGTATTTGTTGCTTGAATGGTTACAAGTGTGTACTTATTAAAAATATTTATATGGAGCTAAGTTTCATGATAATAAATGTATTACTTTCCAGAAAATGAGCTCTTCAATTATTTGGGTGAACCCTACATTGTTGTTGTTGTTAAGTGCCGTCGAGTCGGTTCCGACCCATAGCAACCCTGTACAGGGTTTCCAAGGGTATAAATCTTTATGGGAGTAGAAAGCCTCATCTTTCTCCCGTGGAGCGGCGGTAGTTTTGAACCGCTGACCTTAAGGTTCGCAGCCCAATTCGTAACCACTATGCTACCAGAGCTGATTACATTCTGATTTGAACTATTTTGTGGCACTATAAATTAACACTGATCCGCAAAGTCAGTTTGAACCACAAAGTCAGCAGTTCAAACTCACCAGCTGCTCCTTGGAAAACCCTATACAGGGCCACTCTGAATCAAAAACAACTCAACAGAACTTAACAACAACAACTATACCTTCAAGGGATCCTGCTGTGGTGCTGTAGGATAAGAACTGGACTGCAGGACTGCAAGGTCAGTTTTAACTGCAAAGTTGTGGTTCAAACCCAACAGTCACTCCTCAGAAACCCTATACAGGGTCACTATGAGTTGGAACCAACTTGACAGCACTTAACAACTTACACTTCACAATGTATAGTTTGGAGGTCCTGAATTTGCCAGTAGAAATCAGGTTACCCACCTCAGACGAAAAATCTCACATGTGAATGGTCTGATTCCACAAGTCTCTTTGCTTATGGCTTCTTACCTGATAACATGTTGTCTGTTTTTATTGCGGGAAACTTGAGAGTCATTTCATGCTTGTGCCTATGAATCATCAGATGATCCTCTGTGGGGAAGCGCTGTTCAACACATAGAAAAACAGGTAAGGAGAAAGAAAGCAGTATTCAGTATTGTAATGCATATTTGCCCATTATAGAAAAAAGAAAACGGTATTTAGCAGTGAAAACCTGACAGACAAGACAAAAACTCAATTCTGAAGAAGTGTGAGGTATGATTAAGTAAACTATAAGTTATTTTATGTAGGCAAAGTGTGCTGGGATGTTCCTTGGGATTGCAACCAAATGTGTGCCTCGCTATTTACATTATAATTTACCAAAAGATTTAACTCTCTTGCAGAAAAGTCTTACTGAATCCTAAGAAACAATAGGAGATATTTTTCTTCTCTCATTCTCTAGTTCCCCACATATTCTAGGGCTGCTAACCTCAGAGTCAGCAGTTCAAAACTACCAGCAGTTCTGCCGGAGAAAGATAAGTCTGTCTGCTCCTGTAAACATTTACAACCTTGGAAACCCTATGCAGGGTTGCTATGGGTCAGAACTGATTCCATGGCACATCACCATAAACATCACCTGGGCGGCAAAGTTGGTTTAAAATGCAAGGTCGGCAGTTCAAACCCACCAGAAACCCTACACGGGATCGCCATGAGTCAGAACCAACTTGACAGCACGTAACAGCAACAATACTTCTTAGAGGGCGTGGTGCTGTAGAATAAGCACTGGACTGCTAACTGCAAGGTTGAAACTCACCAGCCACTCCTTGGAAACCCTATATGTAATTGCTATGAGTCGGAACCTACTCGACAGCACTTAACAAGAAGTTTCTTAGTTGGAGTCCTAATGTGACACTATAGGATCAGCACTGGACTTGAAACCACAAGGTCGTTGATAAAACCTACCAGCTGATCCTTCAAAACCCTATACAGGCACCCTTTGCCCTTTCACCCAGGTTCAGTACCTATTGTTTCTCCTTTTGAATATGCGGTTGTACCACCTCTTTCCATATGAAAGAATTCTTCTTATTTAAATTTTTTAAAAAGTTTCAAAAAAATAAAACTGAACATGCTTTCTCAAAAAAACACACACAAAAAAACACCCTATACAGGGTCACTGTGAGTCAGAACCAACTTGCTAGCACTTAACCGCAACAACTTCTTAGAGAACTGGTGTGGCATTGTAGGATAAGCACTGTGCTGGTAACTGCAAGGCTCACAGTTCAAATCCCCCCGTGGCTCTCAGAAACCCTATACAGAGTTGCTGACTTGGAACCGACTTGACGGCACACAACAGCTTACTATATAAAATCAAACACAGATAGCCGGTTGCTCGCAAGTCCAACTTAGGGTAAGCTCACATATGTCAGAGTAAACCTGTGCTCTACTGGGTTTCCAATGGCCGTGATCCTATAGAAGTAGACCACCAGGGTTTTCTTCCATGAAACCACTAGTTGATTCGAACCACCAACTGTTCGGTTAGGAGACAAGTGCAAACCATTTGTGCTACGCAGAAATCCTACTTCTTAGAGAGTGTCTGAATATAACCAACTGAAAATAAATCAGTAAACTCAGTAAACTATTATTTCCTTAGAAACTAGAGGGTAGGCATTAAACTTTGTGTTGAGCTAAAATATATAACAGGAAGAGGTATAGCATACATTCCAGATTCCAGGTGTGGCACTGTAGAATAAACACTGGACTACAAACCACAGGGTTGGTTGTTCAGACCCACCAGCTGCTCCTAGGAAACTCTATATTAGGTTGTTATGAGGCGGCACCAACTAGAAAGCACTTAACCACAACGACCAGGAATATATTCTAATCTAAAACCTAAAATGTTGATTTCTTTAAAGAATAAAGATAATTTTTTCAAGGAGCTCTGGTAGCGTAGTGGTTATGAATTGGGCTGCTAATGTCACAGTCAGCAGTTCAAAACTACCAGCTGTTCCACAGGAGAAAGATGAGACTTTCTGCTCCTGTAAAGATTTATATCCTCAGAAACCCTGTACAGGGTCACTATGAGTCAGAACTAACTCCACAGCACATAACAACAACAACAACACATGAATTTTATTTATGGTCACAAAAAAGAATAATGGTGAGGTGACAAAAATACAATTCTGTCATTTTTACATGAGAAAAATATCCAAAATAGGAAAGTGGATCTAGACCTAAGTTGCATTGGAGTTTTGCAAAACCATTTGAAACTTCTGAGTAGTAGCTACAGTTCAACATAATAGTGTAAAATTAAGTCTAAGGTATACGTACGCTAGGCATTATCTATAGAACCACCAAAAGTAGAAGAAATGCATGAAGTGGGAAAAGAATCATGATTTTTGTCACACTTTGGAAAAGAATTACATGCCGTAATTTGACATATAGTCTATAAATGCACACCATGACAGTTACATAGTATGTTTCTACTTATGAAGAACTTGCACACCCATTATATAATTTTTTGGAAATTGTAAATATGATTTTATAGTAACATGAATAATTAATTTTTGTATTCTCTATTCTGTACAGTGAGGTAAGTCAGCACTTTTTTCTTTAATTTCAGAGAATATTTCTTGCAAAGCTTGCTCCCTAATATTTGTGACTGTCCGACTTCTGGTCACATGATAAGATTGTACTTCCTGGTCTGTGTGTGGTTGAGAGGGGCCATGTGATCAGTTATCCACATTGAATCATGAAAGGAATAACACATTACCCAGATGAGAACAGTTCAAGTTCATTCCTGACTCGAGATGCTCTACTTCCCCCAACTTTTGCTGTTGCATGGTGGCTTGCAGTATTGGAAATAATGTCCCCTCTGTTATCCCAGATCTCTGAAGGACTACGAAGAACAACTACTATAGAAATGTATCCTTGGATAATAGAAAATAAACCTTTGTTGTTTTAAGCCAGTGAAACTTTGGGGTTCTGACTCATAAACAACCCTATGCACAACAAAACACTGCCCATCTTCCAAATTGTTGGTATATTTGAACCCATTGCTACTGGCACTGTGCCAGACCTTTGGGGTCTTACTTTTTCACTGACCTTCCACTTTGCCAAGCATGACGTCCTTCTCCAGGGGCTGGTTCCTATGAATTGTTGTTGTTGTTAAGTGCCGTTGAGTTGAGTTCCAATCCATAGCGACACTGTATAGGGTTTCTGAAGAACAGCTGGAGAGCTTGAACTGCAGACCTTCTGGTTCAAACAGACTTTGCAGCCCAGCACATTATCCAACATGTGATTCAAAGCCAGGACTTTGAATAGCATGACCAAAATATGAGAAACGAAGTCTCACTATCCTGACTTCTAAGGAGCATTCTAGCTATACTACTTACTACTTCCAACACAGATATGTTGGTTCTTTTGGCAGTCTGTAGTACTTTGAATACTCTTCTCCAACACCAGAATTCAAATGTATCAATTCTACAGTTTTCCTTACTCATTTTCACAAGCACATGAGGTTATTGAAAATATTATGGCTTGGGTCTGGTTCACCTTAGTCCTAGTACTGACATCTTTGCTCTTCAACACTTTAAAGAGGTCTTGTGCAGCAGATTTGCCTAATGCAATACATCATTTGATTTCTTGACTACTGCTTCCATGAGTGTTGATTGTGTATCCAAGCAAAATGAAGTCTTTGACAATCTTTTTTCTATTTAATCCTTTATTTATCCAGTGGTGAAGATCTTTGTTTTCCTTACATTGAGATGCAACCCACCTGAAAGCTATAGTATTTGATCTTCATCAGTAAGAATTTTAAGTCCTCTTCTCTTTCAGCAAACAAAGTTGTATTGTCTGCACATTGCAGATTGTTAATGAGTCTTCCTTCAACCCTGATGCCACGTTCTTCTTCATATAATTTATCTTCTTGGATTATTTGCTCAACATACAGATTGAATAAGTATGGTGAAAAAATACAACCCTGATGCACACCTTTCTTAATTTAAACCATTCATTCCCCCTGTTTTGGTCAAATGACTGCGTCTCAGACCATGTTACAGGTTCCTCTTGAGCACAATTTAGCATTCTGACTTTGCAATGGTATCCACAGTTTGTCATGGTCCACACTAAAAGTTCTTACAGAAATAACATCTTTACTTGCAATTTTTATTGTGTAATTTGAAGAGCATAAAATTTGAAGAAAAGGGGTTGGGGAGGTAACTGTGCCAGAGTTCTGAATACACAGATGTTCACTTTATAATGACATGTGGTTTTTTTCTGCTGCTTCTACTATTTTCTTGATGTTTTCTAACCTTATATAATGACTGTCTCAAATATGTAATACAACCACCACCTATGACATAGGAACATAGGTTAAATTTCCCAGCCCTTTTTCAAAAGCCTTACTAATAGTTTTCTGTGATATATTTAACAGCAAGGGAGTGCAGTGGCTCAATAAGATAAGCGCTAGACTGAGAATAACAAGGTCTGTGGTTCGAGCCCACCAGTCACTCCTTGAGAGACAGATGCGGCTTTCTGTTCCCATGAAGATTTAAAGCCACAGAAACCCTCTACAGGGTCACTATGAGTCAGAACCAATTCGACAGCACTTAACATCCAAAATATTTAACAACAAATAAGATGGTAGCATCATTTGTTTCTTATCTGTAAACCATTTTTGGTTTTATAAAAAGATAGCTAAAAACAGGATAATGACCAGCTTACCTATTAAATAATAATAATGATTTCTATAATGCCTAAACTTAACTAGATATCCTGATGTGTCATTGTAGGATAAGCACTGGACTGTTACCACAAAGTTGGAGGTTCAAACCCAGCAACAGCTCCTCAGAAATCCTACTTACCACCACTATCAACAACAACAATCTTAACTATAAGAGACAATACAGCTTTTGCAAAATTAGGTGGAAAGATAACAGCAAATTGTAAGTAATCAAAGTGCACAACAAAGAAAAGCTGAGAGAGGCCGCTGGGATTCAAAGCATGGTTCATGGAGTCAGGAGAAAAGTAGTGAAATTAGTCAGAAAGAGTAAAAGAAGTTTGTTTCTCTTTATTTCGGGCACAAAGATGTGTAAGAAGCTATAGCATTAAAATCTCTCAAGAACTGTT